GTGTGTATGTGTCTGTGTATGTGTCTGTGTGTCTGTCTGTGTGTGTAGGCGACATGCCAACAGGTAGGCAGCTAAACCACACACACACACACACACACACGCACACACACACACTGACCTCCAAACGAGGGAACAGGAAGTGAAATAAAATGCTGAGTCATGTCTGGTTTCAGTCTATAAAATTAATGAATAGTAGCCGTTAGCCTTATAATTAGCCTGTGAATCCCTTATGCTAATCACTAGCATTCACTTAGCTAGTGCTAATGTGAATCGCTAGCATACGAACAGCTATCACTAATGCTAATGGTAAGTACACAAATCTCAGCCTTGCATGTAAACTTTTATCAGAGTTGTTACTTTTGTGTTTGTCTCAATAATAGCACAACAATATAAATTAGCATAAGCTAATTAGAAGGGTGACAGCTATGATGAACGGCCCTTTAAAAACAGTAAAGTCTGGCTAGATGTTAAAGTATGCAGCGGAATGAAAGTATGCATGTAGCATGAAAGCATGGTGGAGTTAGCTGGCTACTAGCTAGTAGCTAGTAGCCAGCCAATGGTGACGGTACAAACAGACCATTTAGTTTCTCTTTAAAGTGACAGAAAGGTTCATGTTATGAAGAGAAAATACATTTTATTTAAAAAAAAAGGTATTTTTCTTGTTTTATATATTATTTTAAATGTATCCACATTCATTCACAGCATAATAAAATAAATATCTAATACAGACATTTTAATTTTAAAGCCAATCCCAGAATGTGAGCCTCAACATATAACTGTATATAATCTTTCATACACTGTTTGCTGCATGATCAATAATGTATTAATAATGTATTATCCATTAATAGATCCTTCATCACATTATTCATTCAGTGCACTTAGTAGCACCATTAGCCTCCATCTGTGAATATTAAAGTCATATCTTTACCTTTATATTTATACTTCTTACCTACTCGTCTGCATTTATTTTATTGTGTTTATTTTAAACTTAATATTCTATGAGATTATAAAGTCATACAATTGTGAGAACTTTTTCTTCTGAAAACGTTATATTTTTCATACCTAAAACACGTCGTATTTCATCCATGTTCTCTCTATGTGTGTGAGGGATGGAAATGTAAACGTTACCGCTCTACACCTCCCACTGTTCCCAGTCAGCTGTTTGTAGCCCCGCCCACCACCCAGTGAATGCACATTTAACATTTTTCAAGCAAACATGTTTTATTGAAATAAAAATCTGCTTTTTGAGCTTTAAAAAACAAACATAAACAAACACTGTACATGTATTTGAGCAGCTGTGAGACGACGGTCGATGTGACGCTTTTTAAAAAGTCTGAGGTGTTAACAGGAACGTTAGCAGGTCGCTAACAGCTAACAGGAAGTCTGCTCCCACGACCAAATAAGGAAAACACAGTCTGCTTCATAAACACGATGGTGATGACAGTGAACACATGGCAGGTGTGTGTGTGTGTGTGTGTGTGTGTGAGGGAGAGTCTTTGGTACAGGTGAGTCTTTAGTAAGCACACACACACACACACACGATAAACATGAAAAAGCAGTTAAAACACACCTGTGTGTGTACAGTCTGAACACACCTGGGTGTGATTGTCTCCACGGTTTGTTTTCTTCACAGTGCATGTTTTCAATCCTTCCTCCTCTTTTATTTTGTACATTAAATAGAATAGAGCAAGGCACTCTGGGTAAAAAGGCAAAAAGCGGCCGCCTGTAAAATTACCCGTCATTAAATGTGTGCAAACAATTGACTTTTTAAACTCCGGCTGATTAGGAATAAAAAAATGAATAAAGTGGTATTTCAGCCGAAGTTAAGGAAACGGTTGTATTTAGTCTGTCCTTCCTCCCTCCTTCCCTCCTCCTCTCCTATTCCCTTTTCTCCCTTCCTCCTTCACTTAGCTGAAAATGACCTTAAACTGTGAGCTGCTCAGTCAAGTCCAAAGAAAAAAACAGTGAAAATGGAAAAAACAACAAAAAAACAAAATAAATCAGTCACTCTTCTTTGTCGCACTTCAAACAAGCTGATCCGAGTGTAAAGAGCAGCGTTAAAAGAAACCTGTATAATAATAATATTAATAAAACTCATCTGCTCCTTCATTGAACCACAGTGACAGAACCAAACCAACATGTAGAAGCTGAGGATAGACCCATATGGGATGATCAACATGTTACACCTTCATATATCCAGAATATTAAACTTTTGTTGTTGTTGTTTTTACTCGCTTAGAAAGAATTAAACACTGTAAGAATTGAACATTTTAACAACAAAAATCAACACAAAAACAAAACAGAATATATAAAAACAACCCTTTAGATATATTTTCTGGATCATCAGAGTTCATTTTTCAAAGGGAGGTCAGCAAAAGATAAATATTGGTAAGCCCATATTTGGTCTATCCCTCGATGGTGTGAGAAAACAAATGAACAGAAATGGAAAAACACAACTAAAACAATGAAAATAGTGCAGCCTTTGGCCAAAATAAGTCCCAGCGTGACTACCACACCTGATTGGTCCAATAGATGTTCCTGTTGTTGTACATTGGCGTGTTTGCGTAGTCTCCTACCTGTTTGCTGCTGTATTTGGGCGGGTTGGCCTTGTAGCTGTAATCCGAATATTGGTCGGAGCCCGTGGAGTTGTTGTCGCCCGTCCCCACGAAGGTGTTGGTGGCGGGCAGGTCCTGAACGGCCTGGTGCTTCTTGGAGGCGGAGGGCGACTGCGGCTGCAGCTGGATGGACGGTAACGGCGAGTTGGAGCGGTAGTGGCGCCCCAGATCGGGGCTCCCCGGCGGGTAGTTGAGGGGCAGGTGGATTCTGGGGCTGTCGGTGACGTCCTCGTTGATGAGGTTGAACTTGAGGCCCTTCTGAAGGCCGGCCTCCACGTCCTCCTCCAGCGGCTTCGCCGGTTTGGGCGCCTTCCCCTTTTTGCTCTTTTTCCCCTTGCCGTTTTTGGGACCTTGCTTCGGGGCGTACAGGTCCTTGCTCTCCTTCTTGCCAGCCTGGTAGCCGCTCTTGGTGTCCTTCTGCAGTCGGTGCCTGATGACCATCACGGCCACGATGACGAGGATCACGCCGGCGATCCCCGCCAGGCTGCCGTACAGGATGTTGCTGCGCTGGGCAAGGGCGTAGTTGGGGTCTCCGGCAATGTCCCGGTCCAGAGGGGTGTAGAGGCTGTGCCCGACCAGCGCCTCGATGAGGGACACATTGGACTTGGTGTCGTTGACGAAGACGTGGACCAGCGCGGTGGTGTGGCGCGGAGGTTTGCCCTTATCGCTGACCCTCACCACCAGGCGGTGCAGCCCGTTGTGCTTGCCGGTGAACTCCTGCACCAGCGTGATCTCCCCGCTGTTCGGCGAGATGTGGAACAAGTCGTATGGGTTTCCTCCCGTGATGGTGTAGACCAGCTCGGCGTTGGGTCCGGAGTCGATGTCCTCGGCCTCCACCACCTCCACCCTGGTGTCCAGCGGGGTGACGGGCGACATGTACGTGTAGGAGGAGTTTGCCGGTTTGGTGACGTAGGGGGCGTTGTCGTTCTCGTCCAGGACGTTGATGGTCACGCCCACGTAGGAGAACCGAGGCGGGTCGCCAGCATCCACAGCCTTCAGGCGGAAGGTGTAGGTGCTCTCTTTCTCGCGGTCGAAGGAGATGCTGGACAGGATTGTCCCCGTGCCGTTCTGGATCATGAACTTCCCGTTGTCCGGTTCCACGATTAGCCTCACCCGGGCATTCTCGCCCTTGTCGGCGTCGGTGACTGTCACAACGCCGACGGGGTTGAGCGGCGCCATGTTCTCGATGACGGAGAAGCTGTAGCCGCTCAGCATGAACTTGGGGTCATTGTCGTTGCGATCTAGGATGTTGACCACCACGGTGGCGGTGCCGGTTTTGCTTGGTACGCCCTTGTCAGCTGCTGCCACGCGGAACTCGTAGTGCTCCGTCTCCTCCCGATCCAGCAGGTTCTTCACGCGGATCTCTCCGGTGTCGGCCCCGATTTCGAAGAGCCTCGTGGCCGCCGGCTCGACGATGCTGTAGGCCAGCTCCGCGTTGGTGCCGCTGTCTGCGTCTGTCGCCATGACGTCCAGCACCTTGTCGCCCGGCTGGTTGCCCTCGGCAAAGTCCACCTTGAGCACCGCGGGGGAAAAGACCGGCGTGTTGTCGTTCATGTCCGTCACCTGCACTTTCAGGGAGTTGGAGCTGGACAGCGCCGGGTTCCCAGAATCCACCGCCACTATTTCGATCCTGTAATCCCTGACGCGCTCGTAATCCAACGGGGTCGTCGTCTGCAAGAAGTACTTCCTCTTCCGGTCGTTGGCCGACTCGCTGGCGGGTCGCAGCTGAAACGGGACGTCGCCGGCGACCACGCACGTCACCACTGCGTTCTCTCCCTCGTCGCGGTCCGACACCTGGACCAGGGCCACGGGTGTGCCGATGGGCATGTCCTCGGAGATGTTGGCCATGCCGTCCTGGTGTGTCACCAGGCCGATGCCGCGGATCTCGATGTTGGGCGCGTTGTCGTTCTGGTCCCGGACGTTGATGGTCACCAGGACCTTGGAGCTCTTGGAGTTGGGCCCGCGGTCCTTGGCGACTGCGAAGAACTTGAGGAAGTTCTCCTCCTCGCGGTCCACCAGGCCCTTGACGTAGATGATGCCCGTGGAGCGGTCGATGCGCAGGAGCCTCTGGACGGCCTCCGACGCCTGATGGAGGCTGTAGTCGATCTCCCCGTTGGTTCCGGTGTCCGCGTCGTTGGCTCGGACCTGCAAGACCACAAGAGAAGACTTTTTATAACCCCAAAAGAGGTTGTGCAATCATCTCATTATGCCCTCAGTTACTCTTTAGATTCTTTGACTTACAAAGATCATTACTAATGCAACACTACAAAGCTCTTTTCCTGATGGGGAGGCGGGGGGGGTATCTGTGTGAAACATAATAGACGATCAAAGCCGAGCACAACAACATCTAACGGATCATTGGCATCTAATGGGGCAGATGAGTGAATGTAATGTTCCCCCCTGCTCCTCGGGGCTCATTAGGAGAACCTTTGGACACGGGTCCGGCTTCGAAACCCCCCCCCCCCCGAAAACCCAGAAGTGAATGGAGGTTAAGAAGGTACGATTGGTCAGCAGAACATCCCTTTATCGCGTCCTCGTTAGGACGCCATTCCACCTGCATGTTAGACGTGCTTTCATTCATAATACTGTTGTAGAAATGTAGGTCGCCGTGTAGTTTTTAACTGAACTAGTTGTTGAACAGCTGATTTAAATGCTGGTTCAGCTGTTTTTTATACAGGTTTCAACCTGGGACTTACAGCAAGGTAAGAAGGTTTTTTTTAACTTTAAGGCCATTATTACTTTTCTAAAGCAGAACTGGGCCAAGCGTGCTCTCACCACAAAATAAGCTCCTGGAAATTTAGGTACTTTAAAAAATATATATAATGCTTTCTTACAAAAACCAGAAAAATAAATGTGCCAGTGGAGAATATTTAAACCTATTTAAACAATATATATATAAAACTTGTGTTGTTTGAGCCAAGGACACTTTCACATTCTAGCTGAGAACGTTTTAAAGGAATAGTTTGATGTTTTGAGACTCTTAATACACTTAGTATATATTGATGCCACTCTCATGTCTGTAGGATAAATAGCTAGCTGTTTCCCACCGTTTCAAGTCTTTATGCTAAGCTAAGCTAACTAGCTGTAGCTCCATATATTACTGTACAGACTTGAGAGTGGATCGATCTTCTCATAAAACTCTCAGCAAGTAATCAACTAAGCTCATTTCCCCAAAATGTTAAAATATTTTCTGTAAGACACCAAACATCTTAATGTTGAGTTAAAATGTGGGGGAATAAATTGCATTTGATGGGATGTTTCAGCCATTAAATAATAATATTAATCTTTATTAATTTCTTACAGACTATGTAGTTGTACATTTAAAAACAAATCAAAACAGAAAACCTTGTACAAATAAAATAAATAAAAGTAGTAGGAAGATTATTTTGTAAATTTAACAGATGAATAAGAAGCTGAAAACATTTTACATTTAACAATAAAGCTTTAATGAAGAACCTTCTACAGTAAACATCGTCAACGTGTGAACATTTAAAAGGTCAAAGATGACATCATAAATATCCTTTGTTTCCTTCAGGACCACAAACCGTGACGGACCGACCGACAGGAAGTCACCGATCCACGTCGGGAGAGTTTCAGGTTCAAGAAAAGAACCAAAGTTAAATTATTATTCACTCCCTACCCATTGATTTCATCTGTCTGTCTGTCTGTCTGTCTGTCTGTCTGTGTCTCTCTCTCTCTCTCTCTCTCTCTCTCTCTCTCTCTCTCTCTCTCTGTCTCTCTCTCTCTCTCTCTCTCTGGTGAATTATTGACATCTTCTGAGAATATTGTGTATTGAACAGCTGGCTGCTCTCCAAGGCCGCTCGGCAAATAGAAAATAAAACACGTTTATTTATCTTCTGGTTAACAATTAACCAGTCGGGGACTCTCCCATCAAACCACGTCTGTTCTCCACCAGTTTGCGTCATTGTTACCCTGTAATACGCTATCATTATAATTTTAATTGATTAATCAGCTGGGTCTCAAAGAAATATCTAATCTCTTTTATCGTCTTTCTTTTTATTTTATTATAGAGAAGATCACTGTGTCAATATTCTTAATTAGGTCTAAATTTAACGAGATTATTCTTCTGAAAAGGGGAAATAAACCGGAGGAACAATGTCGTGTTATTAATAAGTCAAAGAGCTCTGATGATTATTTAGTCGATTGAAGGACCTGAAAGCTGTTTTTGTCTTTCGCAACTGGAGTGGAGTAGGCGGAGCTTAGTGTGTGTGTGTGGGAGGTGGGTCACATGACACGGTGCACCAATCAGGTGCAAGAGCAACGTTTGAATTGAAAATGCGACGACGGTTGTTTGACAATCAAATCTGATCAAATATTAATATCAGATGAGTGATAAACTTTTAATTTATAAAAATATATCTTGATGTTTCTTAATAAAAAGTAATTAACTCAAGGTCCTCTTACTCATTAATTTAAGGGGCTTTCAAGCTTTTTTGAGTCTTGCTCACTTCTTCATGAAGACATTAAGCAACATTTTAATCTCAGTGAAAGATGAGTTTATTAAATACTCATATGACTAAAGTGAGCTGAAGTTAAAAGCTCCAGAAAGAAGATAGTAAGTGGACCTTGAGTTCAGATTTCAGCCTCATAAATAATTCATGAATATTTAAAATATTAACTGATGTCCATTGAGACTTTGACTGAAATAAATAAATGGAGAGAAAGCGGGTTAGATGGATAATAATCTCATGACTGACTCAGATTAAGTCATGCACGGCTCTACTGGAGGGTTAGGGTTGTGTGTTTGAGTCCGGGCTCAAAGGTGAAGTTGAATCAGTCATATGTGACTAACCTCCAATCTGTCCACATGGATAACTGAGCAGCGGATTATGTGCAGAACAGAAAAAGATCTCACTGTAACTCTTTGAGGCACATTTATGTGGAATAGTTGCTCAGGATTCTGGGAAATGTTGCTCAACTGGATCCTGATGCGAACTTCAATCTAGAAAAACACGGCGGTCTTGCAGGCGGAGCTTTAAAAACCTGATTTTACGCCTTAAGATGGTTCAAATTAACATTTATTTAGACCAGACTCCATTCAGAAAAGGGAGGTTTTTACATCCTTTTCTCCATCACTTTAATAATATATGATTTCTTTAACAATGAAGTCTCACATCACAACAGGTTTTAGACAACTAAATAACTTAGTTAGGTTTAAACAACTAAACTACTTAGTTAGGTTTAGACAACTAAACTAGTTATTAAGTTATTACTATTAATTACTGTTTGTTGTTTGGCCTGATAAATTACTTCATCATAGTTATTGATTAGCTTCCAATATTTTAGATATTGTGGCTGAACTAGAGGCAGGAATGATGGGAAAAAATTGTCTACACACATTCGTGTAAATGTGTGTGTGTGTGTGTGTCTGTGTGTGTGTTTATGTGTGTGTGTGTGTCCTGACCTGCAGCACAGAGTGTCCCTGTGGACTGTTCTCGGGCAGCTCGGCCTCGTAGTGGCTCCTCTCAAACTTGGGAGCGTTGTCGTTCTGGTCGGTGACGGTGACCCTCAGCAGGGCGCTGCTCGCCCTCGCCGGCTTCCCGCCGTCTACCACCCGGACGTTCAGGTCGTACGAGTCTTTCCTCTCGCGGTCCAGGTTTCCCATGACGACCAGCTGGGGCAGCTTCTCGTCCGAGTCCACAGCGACCTGAAGGCCGAAGAGCCGGTCGGCGTCCGGCCCCGCGGTTAGCGAGTACTCATCCACGCCGTTGGCGCCGGAGTCCTTGTCGGTGGCCATTGGGATGGAGAACAGCGCGCCGACATGCGTGTTCTCGGGGATGGACAGAGTGAGGATGGGCGAGGTGAACTGTGGCGTGTTGTCGTTGATGTCCAGCACCTCGATGCGGCCCTCGATCAGCCGCGGTCCCGAGCCGAGGCCATTCACCATGTCGGTGATCGACACCTCGAACTCCAGGAAGCACTCGTCGCCCTCGAAAAGGTTGCGGCAGTCCTTCAGCGTCTCACGGTCCACAGGGATCTCCGTGGTGTAGATGTCGCCAGTCTTGCCATCCACGCGCAGGTACGGCGAGCCCACCTCCAGCTTGTACAGGTGGCCCGTGTCGGGCAGGCCCTGGTCCGCCGCCAGGCTGCCGATCAGCGTGTTGGGCGGCTGCTCCTCAGGGACCCGGTACAGGATATCGGAGGGCGCGGCGCCGCCGGAGGAAACCTGAAGGACGACCGCCAGGTAGAGCAGGAACGCCCGACTCAGCGCCGCCATGTCTCCGCCCGACAGAAGAGACCTGAGGAAACAGATCAGAGTTCTTTCTTACAGGTGTTTGTACCTTGTTTCTTATCAATGCTTATTCTGTTCTGCACAACTATTGAGACATCCACACAGAAACTGTAAAGGAACAAAAGCACTAAATCTGTCTGTTTGAGTTTATAGAGGTTAGATCTACTTCCTGTTTACACCCGCATGCCCAGTGAAGTCATGTGATATTGAAATGTCGATGTCCTCCTCTAACAGATAATATTATTAAAGTATTATTGTGTTTTCACAAAGTGGGCGTCTGTCTCACGGTCACCACCTGAAGCTTGAAGACGTGTCTGCGCATCGTTACCTCTTTAAGAACAGCGAGTTTACACGGAGCACGGTCCCAAAGAAAACTACCATTCAGCAGAAAGCATCCATTTGACCACCACGTGAACTGAACCCTCTGATTGTACATATAATATAATATAATATAATAAACATGTGTGAAGATGTCTATGTATGACACATTCTGCTCTTTAATGTGTTTGTAGCCCTTATATACACCTACTGTATATACTTATATTTATATACACCTATGCTTTTCTTTATCTATGCCACAAACTCCATTGACAAAAACTCAATTTAACGTTTGTAACGTCACCAACACACACTCCAACATGGACTAGCATGCCGGGGAGGAGACAGGAAGTCTCAGTGCCGCCGCCTCCTCCTCCTCCTCCTCCTCCTCCTCCTCCTCCGTTAACTGTTAACACTACTGTGTGGGGGTAGAGGCTCCAGAGACCTTGTACACATTCATTTAGCGACTTGGAATTAATTAAACCGTCTGAAGTCTTCCAGCAGCTTTTCATAATGCAGTTATTTTAAGGGCTCCTCCTCTGCTCCTCCTGTTCTCAGGTAGAATGTGTGTCATGGTGGTAAAAGAAATGTTTAATGGCCCGAAGAACTTTCCATGAAGGAAAGAGTGTTCAATTGGTATATTTTTGCATTGAATGTGGTATGAAACAGACATTATGAACCCATAATCATGAGCCTAACGTCAGTGTTTTATAGGAGCTTAACAAGGAAGGACTGCAGTAACGGTTGAGACTCCTTACATGTTAAAATAAAGTAATGTTTGTTAACA